ATGAGAGCCAAAGCCACAGATTTGGTGTCTTCTAAGGCAAAGTGCTGCTCGGCACAGCTCTGCCAGCCCCATGCACAGTGTCCAGCACTTTCTACCCCTCTGTGTCTTGCTCAGGCTGGAGTCATTTCCACTGCTGCGTTCGTGGGAATGGGCTCAAGGCCGGGACGGGGGCTGGGACAGGAGACGGGACCAAGGCTGGGTGGGACGGTCACAGCGTGGGCTGCAGGCAGCCGGGTCAGTCTCGCTAGTGAACATTTGTCCAGGGATCAGTGAGCGGCCAAAGGACAGGCTGTGAAAACAAGGCGAGACGGGAGGAGGTGCAGCTGGGCTGCTGGCGTGTGGGAGGGAGGACGGCGCCAGCGAGGCCTTCGCGTTTGCTTCCCATTTCCTTGGGAGCTGGTGAGAGCACTCCCGTTGCCTGTATGGATCACGAGTGCTGCAAGGGCTCAGGCACCAGTGGTCGTGTGGGTGGGCAGAGGCTTGGCCATGGGGATTGGGCTGGAGCACTCATCTAAGCCTACTTCACAGCTCCCTGCAGGGCTGACTCAAGCCTCCTGCCTGGGATTCCCCATGCCACCTGGGACCACCTGGGGCCAGGTGGGCAGCTCCCCCTTCCCACCCGTGGCCAATTGCTCCTGTAATTGTGTTAGCTCATTTATTGGCTTCAGCCTTTTCATAGTTCCCTTGAGTGTGGGGGAGCATGAGCTCAAGGCTCTGACCTTCTTTAATTGCATAGTGACTTCTGAAAATGAGACCAAGACCTTACTGTGGTTCTTGCACCTCCTGATGGGTACCAAGGCCAGGAGAGGAAGCTGAGGGAGGGTGAGAAGGAAGGCAGTGTGACTGAGTCCCAGCACCAGCACAATGGATCCATCCCTCTGTGCCACTGGTGAGTAAGAGGGGACACATGTGGAGCTGAGCCCAGAGGGTCCCCACCACCCCAGCACTAAAAGCATCAGCTCCCCACCTGCACCTTGGAGTGCCTCTTGCCATCTGTGCTCAGCTGGACCACCCTGTGAAGGCACTCAGTGTGGCTGAGTTCAGCCCCACATCCCTGCATCCCCCAAAGCAGCTCCCTGTGCCCTCCTACAGTCCCAGACAGCGAGACGGAGCTGGGAGTCAGGGTGCTGGGGTGTGAGCCTGCCCAGCAAAAGGCAGAGTTCCTGGGGCCCTCCTGGGTACCCCTGCTGCCACGGGGCCCCTGACCCCATGAGCTCACCCTCCTCTGCTTCTCCCGTTCTCCATGTCCTGTTTGTCCCAAGCAGCTGCTGGGACAGGCTGCATGTGGCCTCCTGCCCTACCCCTCTGCCGGCACAGAGCCACCATTCAGATCCCCCCAGGCTATGCCTGAGGTCACCATTCCTGCATTTTTATTTTTACTTTTCTGCAAAATCAATCCCCTTGGCTCTCTGCATCCCCTTTTGTCCCACATGAGGCTCCCAGACCCAGTGTCACAAGCTGGTGCTGCAAGAGGAGCCTGCCTGTCTGGGGCGAAGGCAGCCCTCAGCAGGGAGAGACATGCTGACTGCAGCCCTGGTCCTTGGGGTCCCCTGGGATGTCACTGGGCTGTTGGGGTGGAGAGAGGGTGAGGGCTGTGAGTCCAGCATCAGGGTTGGGGCTGCGCTCCTGCTGGGAGCCTTGTAGCTCGCCCCACATCCCTGCACCCAGGGTCCTCGCCTGCTGCTAGCTGTGCCCTGCAGGGGTCTGGCTGTGTGAGCTCTGGGGTCCCTGGGTGTCCCTGCTGACTGTGTTTCATGCAGTGGTCAGGGATGGCGTCAGCAGCGACCCTGTGCTGGCCCAGGGCCCTCCCGGCTCCAAGAACAGCCGTGGCCGGGTCATGCCGAGCCTGCAGCTGGGAAAACAACCACAGAGGAGCCTCCACATGTCCCCCAGCTGTATTTTTAGATGCTGCTGGGTCAGAGGCTGTCAGGGCCATGCAGGTGACAGTGGACAGTGTCATGCTGGCAGCAGCATCACACACAAGGCAGTGAGCAGGAGCTGCAGCTCCTCACACCTCAATGCTGACAGGGTTTCTCTGAGCTCTGGTGAAGTCCCTGCTGTGGTTGTCTAGGGACAACCACAGTGGCCACAGGTCCTGGCCACAGCCTGGTTCTGTTGATGGCAGTGAATTTGTCCCGGCTGGAAATGGATGAGAGAGGTTTTATTTTGGGCTGTTGACTTCTCTTTCCAAGTTCCCTCCAAACACAGCCAGGCTACTCTTGCCTTCATTGCTGAGCTCATGGGTTCTCCCCAGCATTTTCCCAGCTCATAGTCCTGCCCGTGGCTGCTGATGGAAGGCTGGTGAGCGGCAGCAGTGATGCCTCTGGTACTGGCACATACCCTGGGGAATTCCCAGGGTGGTTGTGGCATAATGGGAAACAGATGCAACTAGATTTCCTTGCAGATGGCAAACGTGCCCAGGTGTCTATGTTCACAGCACAAAGAGCAGTACCACCCACTGTGTTGCCCCACATGTGCCGAGGCTGTCCCTGGGACAGTTGAGGTGCAGCCAGCCCTGCCAGGTGCTCACCATGAAGGACTGTGTGTGAGCCCAGCATGCCTAGGCTGTGGCTGCTGAGGATGAAGCAAAACCACAGCCTGGCCCCAGCAGGGAGCCCCAGCACATGGCTGCAGGGTGGTTTGTGCCATTGCATCACAGGAGAGATGTGGAAAGAGCTGGGACAGCATGGGGAACTGCCCACACGTGCTGAGGAGCATGTGGGGCCAGAGGGAGTCCTGACCTGGGCAGCAAGGGGTGGCCCAGGACAGCAGGGAGCAGGTCATGACCTGCAGCCCTGGGCAGGGGACAGAAGCAGCACAGGAGAGGGACCTTCTGCAAGTCCCTGCCTTCCTGGGCTTCTGACTCCGGTCTGACCATGGCACCATTCCATGCTCCAGCAGCCTGGGGGGACCAGTCCTTCCCCAGTGGAGCAGCTCCCATACCCTTTGGATGGGCAGAACAGCCCAGTGGGAGAAGCCTTTTCCCCTCCAAAGGGTTGGGCATGGCAGGATTTCACACTCCATTCCCTCTGTCATCTCTTACAGGAAGCACTATCAGGACTGGCCTGTGTTGAGCTTTAGATGTGGTTTTGGCTGTTCCTTGCCAAACATGAGAGTGTTTGGTCAGGGTTCAGCTCTTTGAAGGTTTGTTTTTTTTCAGTTCAACTTCAAAATTTGCTCAAACCCAGGAGAGAGAATTCCTGGTTTTGCTTCCTATAAAATTTAATTTCTCCTCATGGAGGAGGTTCCTTAATGCTCCTCTTGAACATCTTGAATGTTGCTTTGAGGCAGACCTATTGAGATGGGGTGTCACCATGGGAGATTTGGGAGCTCCTCCTCTGAACTGAGACAGACCCAGCAAAGCTCTGATGATGGGTGACAGGCAGAGTTATGGCACCAGGGAGGCTGCAAGTGGAGATTTGCCCTTTTGTCTTTCTCTTTTGCACTTGGCTGTTTCTTTCTGGGCAAAACAATCTCTGCCCATGGGCTCCTGGTTCCCAGGGAAGGATTGGGCTGGCACTGATGGAAGATCGCAGCCTGTGGGTGGTGATGGGTGCCTGTAGGACAGAGCTCTGCCCTGGATGGTTTGTCCCTCTCTGCAGGTGCTGTCCTTGATGTGTCCCTGTTTCCCCACCCTGGGTCCCAGAGCTGACAGTGACTGCAGTGCTGTTCTCCAAAGCCATAGCCACTCATACAAGGCTGGTGAGCATTTGCTGGGCATCTGCCAGGCAGCCTGTAAGTGACCACACCTGAAACTTGTGGGAAGAAAGGCAAAGAGGAACTAAGCACCCTAGTTGCTTCACCCCTAATTTCCATGCACCAAATTCCACTGTCAGAGACACCCAGGGCTCCATGGCCCCATCCTTTGGGGTCTCCTGGGGCTGCAGCATTGGTGCATGGCACAGCCCCGATGGTGGCTGTGCTTGAGCAATAGCTGCATTTCACAACATCCCTGCTTGGCTCAGGGATGTTGCCTCTGGCAGTCAGGACTTCCCTGGATCCAGCATAAGATCTGCCTGCATCAGCAGCTGTGGATTTCCTGTGCCTGGACCCCAACAGGAAATGAAAGTAACTGAATCATTTCTTCTTCCCTCACCTCTGTTCTGCAAGGAGGGACTGTTCAGCTCTCCCAGCTGGGGGCCACAGGGGTGCTCCCCCTTCACCCCTACCTGGCTGCACCCAGCTCTTGCCCCTATCTCCAGCACTCATGACAAGAGCTGTGATGTGTCATGGCTCCAGATGTATTGTCTTTGGTTCTTGACCCTGGGATGCTGGATGTCTCCTCCTGTGCATAGCTGCCCTGTGCTGGAGCCCCATGCCGTTTTTTTTCCCCCCCGCTGATGTAGCTGCCCAGGAGCAGCTTCTCAGCCCAGGCAGGTGCCCCTTTGCCAGCCCTGCTGGGTATGGGGGTCCCTAGGGTCTGCTTGCACAGAATGAGAAGGTGTGACTTGTGTTCTTTAGCCGTTGTTGTGCTCCAGGGCTTCTCCAGTGCCTTTGTCAGGTCTGTGGTGTGACAGTAGCAGCTCACACAGCAGCCAGCAGCCCCATGGGACAGTGACAAGGATGGGGACAGCAGGGCTGAGACACTGCTCCAAGGCAACCTGAACTGTTCCCAGCTTTTGCTGGGTGCAGGCTGCAGGAATGTGGCTGTGTCAGGCTCATCTGGCAGTGCCAAACCCAGCTCTGCTCCACTGAGCATCCGCTGCTGCTGCAGGCAGGGAATGCTGGCACTGACTGAGCGCTGGAAACTGGGCCGTTGCCTCCCAGTTTCCACTGCCCCTTCCTTGCCTTCAATGAGAGGCACCAGCTGTGCTGCTGGGTGCCATGGTGCCAGCGGCACAGAGGAGCAGGGTGTTGGCCAAGCAGGAAGCACTGGTGCTCTGGGGACGCCCCACACAGCTCCAAATGCCGTCCTCTCCCGCAGTTCCCGTTTTGGCAGGGATATAAAGGTGCTGTGGTCAGGGAGAGTCCCACACAGTGCAGCTCTGTGGGAAGCCAGGATGGGAGCACAGAGCCTAGCAGTGGCTTGTGGGGCACTGGCCTTGTGCCTGGCACTCACCACAGCCACCAACCCCGGCTTCGTGGTGAGGATCACCCAAGCAGGCTTGGACTACGGTGGGTTCTGCTTCTGATTTCACTCCTTGCAGATGTGCTGGTGGTGGCAGAGGTGTGGAGCCAGGCACCCTGTGAGAAGTGCAGGGTCCTGGGGCAGGATAGGGGGATCCTTAGACGCACCCGGGGCTTCCCCTGTTGCACCCATCTGCCCCCCAGACGGGACCAGCCCTGCAGGGTCTGTGAGAGCTGCACCCAGGTGGTGTGGGGGGCTGGTACAGCAGGATGGTCCTGGTCCCACGGCACATGTCCAGGCAGTCGAGCTGTGAGTTCTGGAGGAGTGAGCTGCAGAGGAGAGAGGAGGTGGGGTGGGCAGTGACAGAGATGGATGGGCCCTGTGCTGGTTTTATCGAAGCAGGCAGAGACCCAGCTCCAGCAGAGCATAGTTATGGATTGAAATACACTGTGTGAGAAACAGCTCATTTAGCCAGCAGCTCTGCCAGCCGTGTGGGAGAGGACGTGACTCCCCTTCCCAGATGGAGGTAGGGATGCTGTGCTGCTCCCTGGGATGTGAGCTCCAATCAGCTTTGCCTATCAGCACTGGGCATGGAGCAGTCTGGTGCTCAGGACCTCCTGCACACCACACATGGTGCCCAGCCTGGAGAGAGAGGACTGGGACCTCTCCCTCCTTTCTGTGGCCACCACTTGCCCCTGGGGCTTGCAAGCAGGACACCAGGCAGCATCGTTCACATACTCGCAGGGCTCTGAACAAGGAAATTAGCTTTAAAGATGACCTGGGAGGTGGAAAGCAGCCAGGGCATCACCTGGATGTTTCCTTTGATCCTTCTGCTGCATGCCTGGTGCTCCAGCTCCTGCAGAACAGTGGCAGTGATGCTTTCCTTGTGCTTCTGCAGCCCATCAGCAGGGGATCACAGTCCTGGAGAAGGAGCTGACCCACCTGAAGCTGCCAGACGTCTCGGGTGACTTTCGTGTCTTGCGTGTGGGAAAGGTGCACTATGACCTCTCCAGGTGAGCCCTGTCAGTGCCCTGGAGCAGCTCACTGATCCTCAACCCACGCTAGGGGCAGGAGGGGTAGGGAGGGTGGGGAGTCCCTGGAGCAGTGAGGACCATCATGTCCCCTCCACAGCTCCCTGAGACGTTGGCCCTGTCCTTGGTGCGGGCAGAGGTGCTGCTGCTTCACCCCTGCCCAAAGGGAAAAAGGGAACCAGGGTGATGGCACTTTGGGTGTGGGTGGATTTTGTGCCACTGAAGTCCAAGTGGTGGAGGTGGCCTTGCCCATGGGACCAGAGCACCCATCCCCATGCAGAGCAGGAGCCCAGTCCTCATAGAGATCCCAGCTCCCTGCTGCCCTGGGCAGCTCCTACTGCACAGGGTTTGGAGCAGCCATCTGGGTGGCTGCAGGGACCATGTTCCCAAAGGCACCACTCTGCTCTGTGTGTCCCTGCCAGACATAGCTTTGCTGCAGCAGAACTGGAGCTGGGGATGCTGCCAGTGAGGTGACTCCACTCCCACCCTCCCCAGCCATGTGCTTGGGAGTGAGGCACCACTGTAGTGCGACTTTTCTCTTATTCATTTATTTTCAGACTGCGACTTCGCGATTTCCACTTGCCATACTCGCGGATTTCCCCGGTCGCCAACGTGGGCCTTCAGGTCTCCATCTCCAACGCCTTTACCGACCTCGATGGGAACTGGCGGGTGAAGTTTCACTTCATGTAAGTGCCCAGCTCCTCCTCTCCCTGCTTGAGTGATGCTCTTACTCCCTTCTACTTAAAGGTTACCTCTCCTAGTTCATGTTTCAGTGAAATTTGTTTTCCCTGAGTTTAAAAACTTTCCCAGTCTCCTCTGGATGCACCATACAAGGAGGAGTCTGAGCTAGACAGATGCATCCCAAAGCTGATTTGAGGTCTCTTCACCAGGACTTGGCATTGAGAAACATCCTTTCTCTTCCCCCTCTCTCTGCAGCAGAGACCATGGTTCGTTTGACCTGAAGGTGGAGAACATCTACATCAAAATCAGCCTAAGGCTGGGCAGTGATGCTACTGGGAAGCCCACCATCAGCAGCTCGGGCTGCAGCACCCGCATCTCTAAAGTCCGGGCACACTTTTCGGGGAGGTTCGGGTATGTAACTTCACTAGGAGGTCTGGAAACTGTGTGTTAGCCCATTTGCCAATGGCTGCACCACTGAAATGTGGACCTGGTGCAAGCAGTAAGAAGTCAGCATGTCTGAGGCTGCCCAGTCCAAAATCTGGCCTGAATTTCTTCTGCTGTGGCTGCACATTTAAGGCAGTCACCAGACTTCCGTGGTTTACCAGCAAGTCTGTTTGCAAATGTAAACCTTGAGGCAAAACCAGATGCCAAATTGGTGTGGGAATGATGTTCCCCAGTGTCCCACATTTCTAGGGTCTCCCTTTCCTGGGCACATAGTTCTGCAGCAGCCTCTGAGCTAGGAGACAGGACTCCTATTTGTGTTTCTTTGCAGGTGGCTTTACAACCTCTTCTACAGCGCTGTTGAACACAACTTCAAAAAGATTTTGGAGAGCAAGGTATGTGAGTGATGGAGGGCAGGGCTCTGGGTTTTTCTGGTGGTCTTTAGCCCTCATTTGTAGCTGATGTGCTGGAAGGATTGGAACAGATGTAGGGGTGTAACTAGAGACAGAGCACATGGCTGTGTTGTCAATTCGGTGAAAACCAGAGGAATGGGCATCACAGACTTCACAGCATCATGTGTCTCAGGCTGTATTAGAAACCTGTAGCCTTTGCCAAAGCCCAGCATAATTGGTTCCTAATTAACAAAGACTTTTGTTTCCATGTGATCAGTTAATTAGATCTTATGCCTCAGCCAAACTCATTGTAACAGAGGGAACCTGATCAGAGCTGTCCTTCAACCAGCCACACTCTGGCGAGCTTTGGGAGCACTGAGGGAAAACTCATTCCTGGATTTCAGGCACTTGTTTTGTTTTAAGGAGGGGAGGGTGTCAGGGAGCCCTGGTACCACCACCTGGTACAGACACTGACATGCAGGAGACCTGCAACAAGACATGGAAACAAGCTGTTAGCAATAATTACTACAAGGCTAACTGGCATGAGTTACAGCCTCCCTGGATGTGAACCTTGCTCAGGAAGGAGGCAGTTGGAGAACAGGCAAATCCCACTCCTGCAGCAGATCCCGTCCTGCCCAGGCACTATTCCCAATCCCATGCAGTGCCTTTCCCAAGGCCCCTGGGGGCTGGGACAGCAGATGGTCTGGCAGCAGGAGCAAAGCCAGGGCTCAGAGGCCTTTACTGTTGTTTTACCCCTGGAAAAAAAAGCAGCTCTGGGACTGTGAGGAGACCCTGCTGTGCTCTGCACCTCCATCCTCCTCTGCCCCATCCACATTCCTTGATGTCTTTCTCCATGCGAGCGATGGTGTGAGGCAGGAGAGGGCAGGGGCTGGGAGTGTGCTGCCCCAGGACCCTCAAGCACAGCTCACTCCCGACCCAGCCCAGGCAGCCTGTGTCTCTGCCTGCTCTTGCTACACACGCTTGGGCAATCCTCCTGCCCCCAGAGCCAGGGCACCAGTCACAGGGAGATCCCGGTCAGAAGGAAATCTGGGTCACTGGGAAATCTGGGTCATGGGAAGATCCCGGTCACTGGGACCAGGCCTGCATTTTCCCATCTGCAGCTCTGTCCTTGAAGGCAGCAACGAGGCATTTCCAGCACAGACAAATACCACTGGGCACGGGGAAGAGCAGCAACCTGCTGTCACTAAGGCCATGTCCAAGGCTCTGTCCCTCCTCCTTCTTCCCAGCACTGCCCAGCCAGCAGCTGCATTACTGTCAGCATGGTCACTGCTCCTCTGCAGCACTGCATCTCACCATCAGCTCTGCAGCCCAGTCAGACAGATCACAGACAGATCCTGACGGTGCTTTCTGTGCCACTACAAGGAAAGCACTGGAAGGAGCTTTGCAGATTATCACAGCCATCCGCAGGACTGTGACCCACAGAAAACTTCCTGGGCTAATGGTCAGCCTGCAATTAAATCCCCACTAATGCTGGGGCTTCAGCTGTGGATGACAGTGGCAGAGAGATGTGTTCTTCTCTCCTGGCACATAGCTGTAGGAGCTCAGGAAAGCTCAGCTTCAGTGCTCCTGCCTCGCAGGATAGGTTAACCCCTTCAGTTGCTCTGCTTTGGCCAAGTCCTGGCAGCTCAGCATGGTTCATTCCCTCACAGGCCATAGGAAAAGGCTGAGGGCACATGAGAGATTCCTTCTCAGGGCCTCCCCAGGGCTGAAATGTGTGTGGGAGATTGCTGCAAGCAGAGGTTTGCAGGTATAAACCCCACTTGTGTCTTAGACACTTAACGTGCTGCTTGAGGAATGAAGACAGCCATCACTGTGTGCTCCTTTATTTAAGCAGGCTTTGTCAAGGAGTAAACCTGACAGCAGGCAGCAGAGCAGCCGAGGCTCTGAGCGGGGGCTGTGACCTGGCTGACCCAGCTCAGCTCCATGGCCTTTTCCTCCCACAGGTTTGTGACACCATAGCCCAATCTGTGCGCAATGATCTCCAGAAGTACGTCCAGACCCTGCCAGGTACCAAGAGGCTGCATTTTACCCTGTGTCCACTCCCCATCTCCTCATATTCCTTCACCCAAGCTGGGAGCTGGGGAGGACCTCATCTGCAGAGGCACATCACAGTGTGCCCTGTCTGCAGAGACCCTTCCTCTGCTGGCAGCCTCCAGGAGCTGTGCCACAGCACTGGTGGTGGCTAGGGCTGCCTTAGCTGGGGGACCTAGGCCAAGCCTCAGGTCCAGGAGCTGGTTTGCATGAATGAGAAACAGCCAGGAGGAAAATGGGATTTTTTGCTTCTAAAGAGAAGCAAGCACACATGCAGCTGGTACTGAGTTGATGCACCAGGAAGCCCAGACATGGCACTGCCTGCATGTCAGTGGAAGCAATCTGCTCACGGCTTTCCCAGCCATCTCCCTCTCAATCACTTCTCTGCCTCACGTTTTACAGTCACAGCCAAGATAGATGCCAAGACTGGGATTGATTACTCTTTGGTGGCATCCCCAACTGCTACTGCCCAGTCCCTGGATGCAGACCTGAAGGTGAGTGGCTGCCTGGGGACACTTGATTTGGCCAATGCCATTGCCACAGGTGGGTGGAGAACCAGAACTCAGTACCTGCTGCAAATGCTGTTTGCCAGCCTTCATCAGTGGATGAGTCCCACTGCTAATTGCCCTCCTTCTCCATCCCTCTCCACCCCTCTCTCTCCTCCCAGGGTGAATTCTACTCCCTAGCCCACCGCTCCACTGTGCCCTTCCCAACTCTGCCGCTGGCCTTCCCCCCGGATCACGACCGCATGGTTTACTTTGGAGCCTCCAGCTACTTCTTCAACACAGCTGGCTTCGCCTACCATGCGGCTGGGGCACTGGTCTTTGAAATCACAGATGCCATGGTGAGTGGTATAGGTGGGACACGGCTGGCCCTGTGCCTCTGTCAGAGGTCCTATTTGCCAAGGAGCTCTGGTGGCATTTGGTGGTCTTAGAGGATGAGCCTGGGATGGGGCCAGGCTGTTGGGCATGGCAGCATGTGGGGATGGAAGGGCTTGCCATGGCTCAGCTGTGCCACATTGCCCCAGTGTGACAGTCCTTTTCCTGCAGATCCCAAAGGATGTTGACTTCCACTTAAACACCTCCATCTTCTCAGCCTTCGTTCCCGAGGTGAGTGGTCCAGCCCTGCCTTCCCAGAGCTTCTGCACACACAAGCTTTGCTGTGTACCAGGTGTTCTCCCCTAGGAGCAGAAGTTTGTGAAGCTGTCCTCACCCTCTCCCTGCTCCCCTGCAGCTGGAGCAGATGTACCCGAACATGCCAATGAAGATCAGGCTGTCCGCCCCCTCTGCCCCATTCCTGAACATCGGACCAGGAGGAATCTCGCTCAAGCCTGTTGTGGATGTCCAGGCGTACGCCATCCTTCCCAACTCCAGCCTGGCTCCTCTCTTCCTTCTCAGCCTGGTGAGTTCAGGCACAGCCCATGGTCTTTGGACAGATGGGAGTTTGAGCCGTGCTCTGTCCTATTGCCCAGCTCCTACCAGAGGAGGTGCTGGGAGCTGTCTGGGTGCAGTGGGGGTGTCCCCAACAGAAGAATCCCTGAGCTGACAAACACCATGTTTAATGTTGGGGGCAAACAGAGCCCTGGATGGGCAGCAGTCCAGCTGGATTTCAGCTGGTCAGAGCTGTTCCCCTGGGTGTCTGGTTTGGGGTGAAGTGAGGTGAGCACTGTCAGAGCTCTGTGCTCTCCCCCCAGACAGGGAATGTGTCCGCTGTCATCGACGTGAGATCTGGCCACATCGTTGGGCGCCTGGACGTGGGCAGGTATGGAAAGGAGCAGCACTGCTGGGCACGGGGTGGCTGGCGGTGCTCCTGTTCTGGGCTACCGGGAACAGAGCACAGGTGGGGAAGTCCCAGGGAAGTGTACCTAATGTGGAGGGGATGATCTGGGGCTGGAGGGAGCGGGATCTGCACAGCTGTTGACAGGTGGAATTCCTCCCTCCATTGGGACAGTCTCCACAGTGCTGCTTCTGTCCCTGCACAGGATCAGGCTCTCTCTGAAGCATTCAGATGTTGGCACTTTCCAGGTGAGCTATCCTTGACCATGACCAGAGCCCCCAGCATGGAGGTGAGAGCCTGCTGGGGGCTAAGGAGAGGGCCCATTCCTCCATGCTCCCCAACATGGGACCTGGGGATACACCCAGGACCCCACACTGATCCTATAGCCACCTCCTGCCTCAGCCTACAAGGCTAGGAGAGGATGTGGAGCCAGATCCATTGCTGCTTTCACTCCTAGTCTTCCTACCCCACCAGTGTGTCCAGACAAAGCCACTGATCTCTGGCGAAGTGTGTGCCCATCACCTAGTTTTCTTTTCCTAATTATACCCTAGTTCCTGCTCACCTCCTGTCCCACAGGCTAAAGCTTTTCCTGCCCCTTTCCCCACTCCCCAGGTGCGAATGCTGCAGTCCATAATGAACATCTTCGCTTCCAAAATTCTGCTCCCACGTCTTAATGGTGAGAACCTGCTGGGGGGAATGGGGGTGCTGGAGCAGATACTGGCCAGATCACTCCATCCAAGCGGTCCCAGCTCACTAATTAAATCCTTGTTGCCAAGGCTAATCTGAGGGTAAAGCCCACAGCATGTGCAGGAGGCGGCAGTGAAGCAGCAGGAGGTTCCTTGCCACTGTGACATGCTCCTAGCAGCAAACGCAATGGAAAAAATGAGTCTGATGCACATCCTAATGCTTTCCAGACCCTATCCCCCACTCTCTGCTTCTCCTGCCTCTCCAGCAATTCAGGCCAGAGCTGGACTAGCGGCTGGAGGGGCCCAGGGGGGTGTCATGGCACAACACGCAGCCCCCAGCCCTTCTGTGAAGATTGGGAGGAATTTCCTCTGCCTGCCCCCGGATCACTGGAGGCGAGGAAAGGGCTGGGGGGAGGAGGTGGATGCCTTCTCTGAATGGCCCGTGGTCCTTTTGCTCCCATTCCCATCCCAATGCAGCCACGTGTTGTCTTTTCCAGCTCGGTTAGATCAGGGTTTCCCCCTGCCACTGCCAGGGTTCCCCCCTGCCACTGCCAGACAGGATACGTCTCTCCAATACCCTCGTGAGGTTCCACCAGGTGAGTAAGGGGGAGCACCCGGCCCCGGCTGGGGCTCATCCTGTTGCCCCCAAGTCCCTCCCTGCCAGCACAGCCTCCAAATCCAGTTCCCCCAGCCCCAGCTGGGAGGCAGCAGGCAGCGAGGTGCTCTCTGCTAGGATTTCGAGAGCCCAGTGAAAAAACAGAGCCCTGATTTTCCCATCTGCCCAGGGTGGGATCTCCATCATTCTCCAGTTCTTGAAAACTGGGACCTGAATTTTCCAGTTTTTATAGCAGCATTAGCCCCAAGTCCCTCCCCCCATCCCCGACTGGTGTTGCCTGGTGGGATGCTGGGAAGCTGGACAGAGCTCCCTGCGGACAGACAGGCAGCGCCTGCCAGCCCCACTGTAAGGAGCTGTGCCGGGTTCTGGAAAGCCAAGGGAAGTGGTGGGAGGCGTTGGGGAAGCCCCATAGGGGTGTCACCACGGGGATGCTGAATAGTTATAGTGACGCATGGCTGTGAAATGTCTCCTGAGCCTGCCAGGGCAAAAATTAGGCACAGGGGCTGGCAAAGCAACACACGTGCCAATCCGTTCGCCCTCCCGAGATGTGGTGGGTGCTGGGGAGTGCAGCTGCCGGCGGCAGAACGCGGCTGACAGGGCTGGTCTCAGCCCGGCGCTCTCTTTCTCCCAGAATTTCCTGCTGCTTGGAGCAGACGTTCAGTTCCAGCCCCAGGGACGGAGATAGGGCGACGAGGGACCTCCGGCACTGAAATCGCTCCCTTCACCCTTCCCTGCCCCTGGTCCCGCTGCCGGAGCCAAAG